TGCTGACAAGAATATTGTGGGAGACTGTATCAAAAGCCTTGCTAAAGTCAAGGTATATCACATACACTGACTTTCCCACGTCCACAGAGCCAGTTACCTCATCATAGAAGCTAATCAAATTGGTCAGGCACAACTTGCCCTTTGTGAATCCATGCTGACTATTCCTAAGCACTTTCCTTTCTTCCAAGTGCCGCAAAATAGATTCTTTAAGGACCCCCTCCATGATTTTTCCAGGAACCAAGGTAAGACTGACCGGCCTATAGTTCCCTGGATCATCCTTCTTCCCTTTTTTGAAGATGGGCACTACATTTGCCTTTTTCCAATCATCCGGGATCTCTCCCGAGCTCCGCGATTTTTCAAAGATAATGGACAAAGGCTCCTCAATGAGATTTTCCAACTCCCTCAGTACCACCCAATCCTCATCTTGATGCTTTAAAATGTGTGGCTCTTCAGAAAGTTAGTTAGGAAACTGTAAAAAGACTGGGATCTTGAATTACCTTTCCAATGCCAGGGTTGTCCTTGATTTTTGATACCGCTCTCAAAAGGCATGGCGGTGCTGGGGGAGAGCATAACTGCAGTATGCCACTGAAGTTGGTGGCGTAGACAGAGAAGTCATGAGAGCGTGGCAGGGGAGGATGGCACTTCTTTCTCTTCGAGGACAGGTTAAGCTTCTGTGCTGCTCTGTATAAGGGAATATCAAGAAAGGACAATATTACTATGAGCTCAATGCAATTTAGACCAATAAAACAGATGTTCGTTGTCATCACTGCCTGTTTAACAAATCAAGTCATTTCACTCTAATCAGATTTCATAAGGGCACACCATCAGGAGACTAATCGGAGGAAATATGGGCAGAAATATGGTTGGCAAGATATTCATTTAATTTCTCCCCCAACAGAGTTCCAATTATAATCTTAACTTTTTTCCAACAGCTTGGCAGATGAGTCCAAGACTGCTGAAATCGCACTGATATCATAAATAGCTGAAATCATCCCCTTGTCACTAGCAGGACCAGATGGGCTTTGCTGGTGATAACATTAATGAAAGTGATGTTTTGTGCTCTAACAAGTTACTCAGTACAGGCAGTCCCCGACTTACGCGGACCCGACTTACGTCGGATCCGCAGATACAAACGGGGCTGCCCCAGAGTACACGGACTGCGGGACCTTGCGGTCCTGCCGCCCATGTACTCTGGGGCTTTCTCTGCGTCTCCCTGGTCTGCAGACCAGGAAGACGCAGAGCAAAGCTGCGGAGGGGCTCGGGCAGCCCAGGGGA